TATCGTGATATAAATTTTGGCCATATCGTCCAGCCCTAGTTTGTAGTGTGATCAACGTTTGCGTAAGTAGTAGACATGTTAGGGAAACTAGGCACTTCAGATCAAAGCCTCAGCGGTCTAACAGCGCTCGTCAATGTCAAAATGATTGAGATGGCCAATCAAATCAAAGTAGGCGGGGTTTACCGTTCACAGAAGGAGAGCGCGAAGCGTCAGTTTAACGTTAAAAGAGAGCGAGGTAAGATGAAGCTGCAAACCATTTAATATTAGTCAACGATACGTTTTACGATAGAAATGTTAAATGACCGACAGCTATATCCAGTGATGCAAACTACTCGATTTTTTTTCTCAAAGATTTTGAGAGAGAGCTGTGTAAATTGTCTGCGTCTGTGTCTCTCTCTACAAACAATGAAGCTGAGTTTAGTTACTTAAAAAAAACAGCGATATTACCCCCTTGTTGCTGAGAAATATAATGTAGCGATTCAGTATTGACTAATAAAAGTTGCGTGGCAGCGCTGACAACAAGTTTATGAGCTTCTGAATGTTACTTTTTGCACAGCGCGATCTCAGATCTCTGTGTGCAAGTGGTGGTGTGTGTGTGTGTGTGTGTGTGTGTGAGTGTGTGTGTGCGCGCGCATCAATTAAAACAACGCATTAAATATAGAACGGTGATTAATCGGGCTGGGTTTTGACACAAATTTCACGATTCGATTCTCATTCACAAGCGTTCGATTCGACTACCAATTCGATTCGATATCGATTATTTTGGTTTTATATCAGGTACAGTACATACCAAATGTTCTCAAGGAAAAAAAATCTCTCAACTAATGCTGTAAAATATACATGAGAGTCAGTTGGTACTACATTACTATAATATTTAAGGTTAAAATGGACTAATTTGTTAAAATTTTAACTTTATTTTAAAAACTTCATTAAGTGTAATTACATAATATTTCTACTTTAAAAAAAAAATATAAACATAATGGTGGCTGTCATAAAAACTTGATGGATTTATTCAAACAAATTAAACATTGAACAACATCGGATGTTTAGTCATGATTATTTTGTGCTGAAACTGGTATTAAAGCGGAGGAGAGGATCAATTCACGTGCGCCTCGCGCTGCTGGCTGCGTCTGTTGAACTGAGGCGCTACAGCGATCTGTCACTCCACATTAAACAGCGCCAAAACGGCATTAATTGTTTGAATACTGCAATACAATGGACAGAATTTGAATATTAAAAGTACCAACGCACAATGCTTATTGCAATATGTTGGATGTGAAGTTCTGTAAAAATGAGAATCGATTAATATTGAGATATCGGTATTTTTTTTACCCAGCCCTAGTGATTAAACTGAACGGTTTTAAAGCGGTCATATGATGCGATTTCAATTTTTCCTTTCTCTTTGGAGTCCTAAATGTTCACGCAAAGAAAGAAGGTGTAACTTTTATTCTCGCTGTAGTATTGTTGCGGCCACCATGTCGTGAAGGCGCTGTGTGTTTCGTTGTGAAAGTGAAACTACTGTTTGGACGATATCTGCTTCGTCATGCCTGGAGCTGATCTGTGCTGGTTGCTGAGGAAATACAACAACTTCGCGCTGTGGATCGCCGGATCAGCTTTCACCATGGACGAAGCGGATTCCAGCCTGGGGTCGTCACATGTGGTTGCTGCAAGCCTCCTTCGTTGAATCCTCCGGCCGCGCCGTTCTCAAGCCCACCGCCTCTGCTCACTCTAGCCCTCCGGCCGTGCACCACATTTTATGGAGGACTGTTTACTGATCCTGGGAGAGTATACTACAATGCCGGCTGTTCTGACTCACAGACTGTAAGTACGTTTTTTATATTTAAAGTGTTTTTATATTTTTTATATTTAAAGCGAGTTTTTTGGGCAGTGTAGAGTAGGGCTTGTTGTTTGTCCGATTCTCCGATCACAAATGCAGACATGGTTTTATGTTTACGTGGCGCGATGCAACGCAACGTGTAAAAAGACAGTATAAGTCATTATAATCCATAATTATGTCCCCACTGGAGGCAAAGAATGCCTCGTTTATAATGGGTTTTCATGTTTTTGAATCATCGCCCCGGCCCGACAGGGCATCATCACAATATGGTAGGGGCGTAACATTGTGTTGGCACAGTGATTAACCAGAAAAAAAAAAAAAAAATGGCATGTCATGCCGAAAAGGTTGCCGACCCCTGCAATAGACAATCGTCACTGAGAAACTTCTGCTGATGTTAAAAGTAAACTGTTTTGAATACAAGTATGGTTCAAAGATTAACAGATGCAAATCTGGTGATGACCGGAAAAACTACCTTTTTAGTCATCTGGTGTTGACTAGAAAAGGTAGTAGATATAAATCTCCATCCACTATCACCTTTTGTGTTTCATACAAATTTTGATGTCAGTGGGTGTAACCCCCATTATACTAATACTACAGAGCCGTCTGTTTGTTAATAATTAAAAAAAAAATAACAACAAACATTAAAGTCTGCATTAAATGGAAATTCATTCTATTTTCTAAATGCATCTAAATACAAACAATTCATCCATGCATGGGTTTCATTTTCTTTTTAAATGTTCTGACCTTGTATTTTTAAACTCTTCAGCTTTCTTATAATAGACTTAAAAATTGCATTCAGATCTGCCTCCATCCAATCAACAACCAATTAACTGAATCAAGTAACTGCCTTAGATTTTTCTTTTTTGATTATATGCTTTACTCAGATGTACTTCAAAACACTGACAAAATGATCGATCTGTCTCTACGTCCGTTATGTCGCAACTTTAGAATCACCATGGTACATCAAAAAAACAAAAAACTCAAGTTAGTACAAACCCTGTTCATTTGGTCCAGAGTGATTAGGCCGGTTTGCCAGAATGCCTTGAGAAGTTTGACCATCATCTGTAAGGCTGTGTCACCTGTAGACTCCAGTACCATAACCACAGCCTACATCAACCAGAAACAGAAACAGATGAGAGAAACTAGGAAAATGATAGGAAGAGGAAATAAGGAAAAGCAAGTCCTTGTGCAACCTGACAATGCACTTTATCATCAAAGAAAATGTTGAAAATGTGCTGGTCCAACAAGAGACCTATTACTGGGGTGAGGGAAAGTGCAATTACTGCGCTAGTTGTTGTAATGGGCAAAACCAAGATGCAATTATTGTGAAACTGATATTTCTAAGTCAGTAGACTTGATGGTAAAACAACATTTTATAAAAGAAACAGTGAAATCTCTTTTTCTCTTTAAAACTCTACATGACATAACTACTGTACATGCTATTCACACTTCATACCTCATAGACCAGTTCATGATGAAAGTGTGGCACTTCTAGATCTCGCAGACAGTGCTCAGCCTCAGAGAGCTCTCCTGACACCAGGTACTCCTTTAGCAATAGGTTCATCTGTAAAACAAACAGCAACATAATATATGGACAGCAAATAAGAGGCATGATCAGAAATGTGAAAATGGGTTACTATTGTAGCAACCCAATTTTATTGCATATTTAATATGTATATTGCATGTATATATATGCAATATATATATATATATATATATATATATATATATATAATGAAATCTTAGGTTAGGTTATGAAAGTCAGTTATGACCGACTATGAGAGTTTGTACTTCGAGAAACAAGTGAATTAATTAATAAACACCTTTGCATGAAAATGTTGAAAAAAAAAAAACTTTTTCTTCATTGACTGCTTGGTGGATTGCTATACTTTTTCTATACTGTTCTATTCTATATTTTATTCAATGATAATTCAACAACATGTAAAATAGATATTTTTAGACCTGGATAGAGTGGTTTTATTACGTTATTATTAACTGTTAATTAATTCAATAATTTATCAACAAATAGGATTATATAAAATATTCAAGTGTCATAATTTTATATCAAGGGTTAAATATATAATATAATACAATACAATAATTTGGAGTATTTAACAAGCATTTTGCAGTATTAACAAGCAGTCCTTACAAGCCATTAACATTAATGATTAAAACTGAAAATTTCGGAATATTTACACTGTATTTTGAAAATAACATTTAATTTAAATTTAAATTAAATTTAAATTTAAAAAATACAAATTTTTTTCGTACATAAGTAATAATACAGGGATACCTCACCTCTTTGATGAGATGTTTGACAGGCCTCTGGCCGCCACCAACTCCCCACACATTATCAAGCCGCATGATTTTCCTTTTCATGGAGAGAAGAACTGATGCTCTGTCCAGTGCAGCTCTAATAGTCATGAGGGCATGAACAAATGAAGAGGGGAATAGCATGAAGGGTAAGGCAGCAAGTCAGAAGCAGATAATGCAGAAAACGCACAGTTCATTTTGTCTGATTTAACATGTCAAACAAAAGGAACTGCATATTCAGTCTAGAACCCCATGTAGGGTGGGAAATTACCCTCATTGCCTCTACACTTTTTTTTTAGACTTTATGATTTTATTTTGAACATGTAAAAATAATATGATAAAACCTGCTATAGTGAATGGCAATCATTATTCCACTTGTTCCGTATGTGCTACTTCCAGGAAAGACTAAATGCTACTCCTACAAACATGCATCATTGCAACAAAGCAAAAGCAATGACCAAATATAGCTGCAAGCAGCAATTGCGGGGCCAAGCACTCCAGAGGCAAAATGAGAAGCTAAGCATGGCATGGAGCATCAGACCAAATGCAACAATGAGTAATAAAAGCAATTTTAGGATGATTGTAATTGAAATGGCTGAAAAATCAAATACAACCTCTATTAATATGATTACATTGCTTATCACTTTTGACCAACAGGTGGCACTGCAATCAAATAATTTTGGTGTGTTCTGTGTGAGGTGACAATGGCACACACAAAGTTTGTTGTCATTATGTCAAAGCTTTGAAGAGATATAGCCTTAGAGTCATTTTGGCACCGTGCCTAAAATTTGTAGCAGCGCTGTACGAAAACGGTTTCGTCTATCGACACGAAATCCAAAACATGTTGTCAGCACAGTCTGAAGATGATTTGACTCGATTTTGGTGAAAATCGGACCAAGGCTTGAGGAGGAGTTTGAAAAGAAGGTTTACAGTATAAATCAAAATGGCCTACAGGCTGTTCAGATTTGCTAAGCGAAAATTCATATGTCTGTTGTCGGCATAAGCCAAGGAATATTTTGAGAGCAGTTTCATTGCAATAGGCTAATGCAATCAAAAGTTATTAGCATTTTTGGAAATTTCATAATTAATAATAAATCAATGGTTTATTACTCTTGGCCAATAGGTGGTGCAGTTACCAAATTGATGTGGCATGGTCAGTGTGAGGTG